TTTTTCCATTCAATCAATCGAAACTTTGTATAATTTTTAACAAACCTGGATGCACTAACAAAAACCTGTATGTAAACAGATACAAAACAAATTAACCTAGTGTCGATTTTTAATTACCATTTGTATAGCCTATTGAAAATTTTGACACCAAAGCCTAACAGAAGGAAATGTAAATATATTAGACAAAATTAGGAAAACTACACAGAAAGTAATTAAAGAGAATATTCTACATCTGGATGACATTTATAACAAATACATTTTGGCAAAACGTAAGAACATACTTTAACAAAACGTAAGAACATAATGAACGGCACGACTCGTCCTCTATATCATGCCTTTATTTTTAGTAGTTCCGGTGGCAACTACCACTCACCCCCTGTCTCTATAGATATTCTTTTGTTTCAAACTCAATCCATTTGAAAATTGACACTGTTAAAACATAATTAATTTAAGTCTTATTTAGATTTATGTAAATGTTGTTTAAATATCATGTTTTGATATTGTATTGTGGTTATATTTTTAATTACTAATCTTTTACAGTATGTAATCTTGTATTTATTCTTGCTGTATTATGTTGCTTATATTTTGTATAATTGCCAGTTGAAACTAATTTCTAATTTTTCGGACAAAAAAAAATTATCTTGTACCGTGTATTCTTCTTTGCAGACAATGAGGTACCAATTATTTACAATTGTCCAAACGATACAAAAGTAAATACTACATTCCGCCTACCCACTGCTAATGTTTCTTGGACCGAACCGATTGCTGAGGACAACTCTGGTAGATTGAACCTTACAGTTGATATTGAACCTGCCAGTACATTCCAAATAGGTGATACTTTAGTAACATACACCGCGGAAGATCCATATGGAAATACTGCTATGTGCTCATTTACAATCACTGTTGAAGGTAACCAAATTTAGCAAATCTAATGAAACAAATAATTGCAAAATCGCATGTATTGATAATAAATTACATTGTTTATGAATGAGGAACCTCCGGTCATCGTATGTCCTAACAATTTTACTTCAAACAAGTACGTTATTGATAAGAACGGTTATTATAATATGTGAACTCATACGAAGGTGGGTAGTTTATGTAATATGAGAGTTGATGTATTATTCCTATGTATTTTTTTATTTCTTAAATTATTTTTATTATTAATCAAATATTTAATTATTCTATAAATTCAATTTTTAGACAAAGAGCCTCCTGTTCCAATTTGTCCATCACTAGTTAGTGGTGTAACAGATCTTGGAAAACCAAATGGCACTGTGAGCTACAACATTAGCATCATGGATAATGTTCAAGTTCATGAAATGTTTATCAACTACCAAGGCGCAAACCAAAAGACCTTAACCATTAACCAGACGTACACTGTTGTTGAGACTACTGTTGTATTACCAATCGGTGAAACTGAAATTGAACATATATTCATTGACAGTGCATTTCCAGTAGGCAATGAAGCCACGTGCTATGTGATAGTAGCGATCGAAGGTATTTATTCTATTATTCTATACACAGTATGTATACATATGTACAGTGCATAATACAAATACTTTCTTAAATGAAATAACATATTTTTTCACAATTTCCGTTCTGGATGACTATTAGAATATCATCTAAAAAATTAAAGTGGTATTTATAAACTAACTGTTCACTGATAGCAGACACCTATCCATACACACAGCTATTATTGCTTCCATTACTTACAGATGGCGATTTCAACTCCTAAAATCATAAAACTCATATCAAATTTATATATAAAATAGAAGATACACCATTCTCTCACATGTTTCAGTCATTAGTATTTGTTTGATATTCTTCATTGCAGACAATGAGGATCCAGTTATTACCTTTTGTCCAAACAATATAACAGTAAACACTACATTCCGCCTACCAACTGCTATTGTGTCTTGGAATGAACCAATCGCTGAGGACAACTCCGGTAGAGTGAACTTTACTGTTGATATTGGACCAGCCAGTACATTCCTAGTAGGTGATACTTTAGTGACGTACACAGCGGAAGATCCATATGGAAATACTGACATGTGTTCCTTTACAATCACTGTTCAAGGTAAGCCTAACATATAACATTCAGTGAAAATAACATTTGAACAAATCCAAATTTACAATGTACAAAATCGTATGTATTGTTGTTAATAATACATTATTTTATTGGTAGATAAAGAACCTCCGGTTATCAGTTGTCCTACAAATGTCACTTCAAATAACTACATCAGTGAGATATTAAGTATAATATATGTGAAGGCAGATGAAGCTCGTTCATATGCAACCGTCACCTGGGATCCACCTATTACTAGTGACAATAGTAATGACAATGTTACGGTCGTAGCTGCACCATACCAGTCAGGTGGTATGATACCAGTCACCACTTCGTTTATTCAGATTGTCTACACAGCAACGGATGATTACGAAAATGCTGACACATGTGAATTTGCTATCCAGGTCTTAGGTAAAGCTTGAAAAATAAAAACTAAAACACAATCCCCAAAATTATATTCAGTATTTTTTTTAATGCGGAAAACGTTAAAATATCATTATTTTTCCATTCAATCAATCGAAACTTTGTATAATTTTTAACAAACCTGGATGCACTGACAAAAACCTGTATGTAAACAGATACAAAACAAATTAACCTAGTGTCGATTTTTAATTACCATTTGTATAGCCTATTGAAAATTTTGACACCAAAGCCTAACAGAGGGAAATGTAAATATATTAGACAAAATTAGGAAAACTACACAGAAAGTAATTAAAGAGAATATTCTACATCTGGATGACATTTATAACAAATACACTTTGGCAAAACGTAAGAACATACTTTAGCAAAACGTAAGAACATAATAAACGGCACGACTCGTCCTCTATATCATGCCTTTATTTTTAGTAGTTCCGGTGGCAACTACCACTCACCATCTGTCTCTATATAAATTCTTTTGTTCCAAACTTGATCCATTTGAAAATTGACACTGTTAAAACATAATTAATTTAAGTCTAATTTAGATTTATGTAAATGTTGTTTAAATATCATGTTTTGATATTTTATTGTGGTTTTATTTTTAATTACTAATATTTTACAGTATGTAATCTTGTATTTATTCTTGCTGTATTATGTTGTTTATATTTTGTATAATTGCCAGTGGAAACTAATTTCTAATTTTTCGGACAAAAAAAAATATCTTGTACCGTGTATTCTTCTTTGCAGACAATGAGGTACCAATTATTTACAATTGTCCAAACTATTTTTAATTACTAATCTTTTACAGTATGTAATCTCTGTCTCTTATACACATCTAGATGTGTATAAGAGACAGAGCCAGTACATTCCAAATAGGTGATACTTTAGTAACATACACCGCGGAAGATCCTTTTGGAAATACTGCTATGTGCTCATTTACAATCACTGTTGAAGGTAACCAAATTTAGCAAATCTAATGAAACAAATAATTTCAAAATCTCATATATTGTTAATAAATTACTTTGTTTATGAATGAGGAACTTCCGGTCATCGTATGTCCTAACAATTTTACTTCAAACAAGTACGTTATTGATGAGGACGGTTATTATAATATGTGAACTCATACGAAGGTGGATAGTTTATGTAATATGAGAGTTGATGTATCATTCCTATGTATTTTTTTATTTCTTAAATTATTTTTATTATTAATCAAATATTTAATTATTCTATAAATTCAAATTTTAGACAAAGAGCCTCCTGTTCCAATTTGTCCATCACAAGTTAGTGGTGTAACAGATCTTGGAAAAGCAAATGGCACTGTGAGCTACAACATTAGCATCATGGATAACGTTCAAGTTCATGAAATGCTGTCTCTTATACACATCTAGATGTGTATAAGAGACCGCAATATAACAGTAAACACTAAGACTACTGTTGTATTACCAATCGGTGAAACTGAAATTGAACATATTTTCATTGACAGTGCATTTCCAGTAGGCAATGAAGCCACGTGCTATGTGATAGTAGCGATCGAAGGTATTTATTCTATTATTTTATACACAGTATATATACATATGTACAGTGCATAATAAAAATACTTTCTTAAATGAAATAACACATTTTTTTTACAATTTTATTTCCGTTCTGGATGACTATTAGAATATCATCTAAAAAATTAAAGTGGTATTTATAAACTAACTGTTCACTGATAGCAGTCACCTATCCATACACACAGCTATTATTGCTTCCATTACTTACAGATGGAGATTTCAACTACTAAAATCATAAAACTCATAACAAATTTATATATAAAATAGAAGATACACCATTCTCTCACATGTTTCAGTCATTAGTATTTGTTTGATATTCTTCATTGCAGACAATGAGGATCCAGTTATTACCTTTTGTCCAAACAATATAACAGTAAACACTACATTCCGCCTAGCAACTGCTATTGTGTCTTGGAATGAACCAATCGCTGAGGACAACTCCGGTAGAGTGAACTTTACTGTTGATATTGGACCAGCCAGTACATTCCAAGTAGGTGATACTTTAGTGACATACACAGCGGAAAGATCCATATGGAAATACTGACATGTGTTCCTTTACAATCACTGTTCAAGGTAAGCCTAACATATAACATTCAGTGAAAATAACATTTGAACAAATCCAAATTTACAATGTACAAAATCGTATATATTGTTGTTAATAATATATTATTTTATTTGTAGATAAAGAACCTCCGGTTATCAGTTGTCCTACAAATGTCACTTCAAATAACTACATCAGTGAGATGTTAAGTATAATATATGTGAAGACAGATGAAGGTCGTTCATATGCAACCGTCACCTTGGATCCACCTATTACTAGTGACAATAGTAATGACAATGTTACGGTCGTAGCTGCACCATACCAGTCAGGTGGCATGATACCAGTCACCACTTCGTTTATTCAGATTGTCTACACAGCAACGGATGATTACGAAAATGCTGACACATGTGAATTTGCTATCCAGGTCTTAGGTAAAGCTTGAAAAATAAAAACTAAAACGCAATCCCCAAAATTATATTCAAT